TAATGTGTGGCTAGATTACAACTTAAGATATGATTAACTGGTTAATCATGCTTTAAGTGTAATGCGTGGCAGACGCCTAACTATAAGTACCAATCTCTATGCATCTGGCTAATAATTCCTCACAAAATCTATCTTCCTACAAAACAAGGAGGCAGCCTTAATCCAATTGTTGAGAGCCATAAAAACTTCTGGGTGTGCAGCAGCTAGTCCTCAGATAGGATATAAATCTATTTAGAGAATGGAGAGGGTAGAAAAAAATTACCTCTAGCTCCATCAGATAAATGCATTTTGTAGGTAGGGAGAATATCAGATTGAGACAACAGCTTAGTGTTTCTGGATGAGTCAGCTCTGGACTGTTCCCATCCAAAGATGTGTGCAGGTATACTCAAGGTGGTTGATGTCATCAAGCATATCACCAGGAAGAGCTGTGTGTGTCTTAAGAAGTCTATGATGTAAGGCTCAAATTTTGTGATAACATTGTTGTATAAAAATTTGATGAGGGTGGAATATGAGATAATCTATTTCAATATTCATTGGTAAAATACAGGCTGCCCTTTCATCTTCTCAGCAAAAGCAAGAAACAGCACAGGATAGGGCTGCCAAATTTGTTGGGCGCCATGAGCTAGATCCAGACCATAGGACTTCTTATGGGCTGGATCTGGGCTACAGGGTTTTCTGCAGGCTGAACACTGTGAGCAGTGGTGGAGACATTAATCCTTGCAGTTGCCACAAATGTTGTTTCAGCATAGCTTCAGAACTCAGCTAGTTAATGCAATGCCATTGCCGCTCCCCAAAACCTTGATTCCATCAGCGGGTAAGGGAAGGGTCAAGCAGCATTAGCAGGTTTCATTGGTTAATAACCCTGGTGTAGTAAAACTCTGAAAAAGTCTCATTCATTCTGCATGAGAAAATAGTTTGACACACCCAAGTTTAAATGTTTAGCTTCCTTTTGAGTAGTGTGAGGTTTGGGAAAAGAAAACTGATACATAGATCATCTGGCTGAGATGAAAATTAGATAGGCATTTCAGGTAAGGCCTTGGTGTCACCTGCCCTTATAGAGAACTTACGGTTCTGCCATAAGGCTGTGGTTCTCTTATTTTCTAATATAAAGGCTATAGTTTCTAAAAAGGTGGTCATCATAAATAGATGGTTTAAAGAACAAGCTGTGATGGGTTCAAAGGGAAGTCCATTCAATCCTGATAATATAATAAAGTTTTGGGAGGGTGGAGATTATCTGATTGATGGGAAGCCCTGAATTATTTTCAAGATATGGACAAATAAAGGTCAAATTGTCTTTACAAGAAAGATGCTTCATTTCCAGACATTTGGCAATTGGCACTGGGAAGAGTCCAAGGGAGAGAATGCTATACTGGTAATGAGACTTTCCTACTGGGAATGTGAAGTATTTCCTGTGGGCTGTGTGGCTTGCAATATGGAAACGGGTATCTTGTTATTAATGATATTCACCTATTATTGATGAGATTCAGCCACCCCTTGTCACTTATGTTCACAGACTTGAGCTATCTCTGGATCCTTCACTGCACCTAGATTTTAGGTTGTAGCAGTGGCTTGGTGCACTTTTCACCCGCTCCATCTGGTGAGAAGGCTATGATCCTTTATTTCAGTGGATCTGGCCATCAGCATCCATTTTTTCATAATCTTGACACTAGAGTAATATGATGCTCTATGTGGGGCTGCCAATGAGGATGGTCTGGAACAAGTGCAGAACATGGCAACCATCTTCAGATGGAAGTGAATCACTAGCTCCAGTGCTCCAGAGTCTGCGTTGGATTTAAATATGCTTTCTGGGCACAATTCAAGGATCTGGTTTTTAACTCTAAGGTCCTAAACAGTCTAAGCCCTATATACTAACAGACTGTCTTTTTCCCTTATGTTCCATCACGATTGCTCAAGTCAGCCAAGAACAACATCCTTCCAGTATTATCTTAGCACCAAGTTCATTTGGTGAAAACAAATGGAGGGTTGTTCACACTAGTCACTCCTCCTCTCTAACTCCCTCTCCTTTGTGGTCTGTGACAGACTGAACCTGGACATCTTCTAGAAGCATTCCAAAACCTTTTATTTGGGTTGGCCTTTAGCAGGGAGGGTTAAGTTTTGGGGCACTGTCTGGGGAATCTGTTCTATTACATATCATGTTAATATTTTGTATTTATAATTTAACTGGTTTAATACATTTCCCTCCCTCTCTTGGGAGGGGGCAAATAAATCAAATGCATACATACATTCATTATTTTCTAATCATAGAGAAAAAAAGATATGTGAGCAAACCCCCAAAGCTGGAAATCTGTGTACATTTATTTCACAGCCCCACATTGCAGAAAGGAATACATGTTCAGTGTGCAAAGGTAAACGCTGAGAGCACCTGTACCATAATGGTAGATGTCAGGGTCATCAGCACCAGGTACACAAAAGTTTGTATTGTGAGGTAACACTAACAAAGTACAAAGCATCATTATTCAGAGATTTAGTTTTCCCAATGTATCAGAGGGGTGCAATTGAAAGTTACTGTTTGACTGAGAGGCACAAAGCTATCTATGCCCCATTTTATGAGACACCACGAAAGACGACATAGGCATGTACTCATTCTTGGACAAATTTTCCATCTCGCCCCTTTCAGATGAATGGACAGAAATGGACACTGCCACTTTTTTTTTGCTTTTGAAGGAGTGAGCCCAAGAGCTCACAGTTGAACTGAAGCTTAAAGGAGTACTCAGAGATGAAGCCAGCCCAAACTGGTAAATCATGTGCTCTTGTGGTTCTCACTGTGTCCTTTAGAAGAAATATTTTAAAGAGAACCTCTCTGGCTACCTGCATTTCTTTAGAAAAGAAACAACAGTCTGAACCCTTTCTGTGGATGTGTACCTCTTCCAGACAAATAGGTACCTTGAATGATCTTCATTAAGCTGCACCATAACAGGAACAAATTTTGAATCCTAGGGACCTCAATTCAGCCATCTCAGCTAAATATTAGTACTAGGAAGTCCTAAACACCAACAAACTTATTGCTTATTTTAAGTAGTCAGAAGGCACTAAAACAATAAGAAAAACTACAATAAGTAACACTATCTACACTAGGGGTGGGCAAAATATGGCCCATGGGCTGAATCTCGCCTGCCAAGAGATTTTGTCTGGCTCATAGCAAGTCCCTCAGCCCTGCCAGCCCAGGTGTGTGTGGCCGGTCTGGCTGCCCCGGGCACACAGTGGGGTTGGGGTGGTACAGTAGCCAGACTCATTTTTTGGCAAGCGTCTGTTGCAGGAGCTTCTTCCTGCTGCTGCCACCTGTCTTTGCTGCCACTGCTGGACCCACTGCTGCCAATCTCCATGACTGTCACTGTCCGGGCATCCTAGCCCATCTGCCCCAAACCCACCACTGAGGGCAACAGATGGAGTGGGTGGGTGAGGTCTCCATGGTGACCAATCGAGGATGCACATGGGCAGGGTACATAGCCAGGTGGGTGGAATGGGGCCATTGCTGGGCAGGGAGTGGCAATCTGGCAGCAGAAAAAGTGGGCAGGACTGGGATTTTGAGGTAGTGACAGCACTGAGCCAGGGCCTGAGGCAGAGCCATGATCTGCTTCCCACACACCGCTTTGATGGCCGCTGGTTCTGTGGCAGTGGCATATGGGGAGCGGATCATGGCTCTGCCCAGGCCTTGGCCCCAGCCCTGACTCCAGCCCCGACCCTGCGCTGTTACCACCCAAGATCCCAATCCCAGCTTGGCCCTGGCTCTGCCCATTCATCCCACTTCCAGATGCTGCTCCCTGCCTACCTGTGGCACCATCTCATCTGCCTGTCTGAGTGCAAAACCCACACAGGTCCCAACTGGTCTTCATGGAGACCCTGGGATTGTGAGGTGGTGACAGTGTGAGGCTGAAGCTCAGGCCCAGAGCCAAGCTGTGATCTGCTCCCTGCATGCCCATGCCCATGCCCATGGAACCAGCACCCATTGTAGCGGCATGCAAGGAGTGGATCATGGCTTTGTTCTAGTCCCCAGCCCCATGCTGTCATCACCCCATGATCCCAATCCCAGCCCCAGCCTTGGCCCCACCCATCCCGATCCCAGATGCTGCTTCCTGCCGGCCAGCATCCCTATCCTATCTGCTCTGCCAAGCTCGGCAGAGCTATTCAGAGAATTTTGGTAGCTGTTGCGGGGGCATGCTGACCCAGTACGGCAGTGGCGGAGGGATGCTGACCCAGCCCATGGCAACTCACCAAAATTCCCTAAGTGGCCCTCTGGTGGAAATAACTGCCCACCCCTGATCAGCGCATAATACTCCTCTACTTGTTTGTCTGTCTATGTGTGAAGTATATAAAAAGGATTCAAGTGACACGGTGCATGAAAGAAGTAGACCCTTCCTTTTTTACTGCAGACACTGCTGATAACAAGAAAATGAGAGACACATGGGCCCACTTTGACTTTTATGTCTTCAGGGGATGTAAAATGGGGTACATACATAGAATGGGCATACTCCAGAGAACATTCCCAGTTAGAAGAATGGGATCTTGTGTACATTTCAAAATTAAGTACAGAAGGCTGAAAGTTGTAACTGATGTTAGGAAAATCTCTGTCTTATTTAATAATGTGGCTGCCTCTTGCTTGTTTGCTGGGATTGCTAATGCTGAAATTGCTAGTTGCTTCTGAACCAACAAGGACAGGTTATCTTTGTATTGTGTCTGGTGGCAGAAACCCAGAGAAAAAGCAAAAGACTTTTTAGTACAGGTAGTTAAAATCCCACTGGTTGAGATGATGCCTTGACTATTTTGTTCCTTTTCTCAAAGATTTTCTTTCTGGAAATTGCATGTCCTTAAGTATATAATGGCTGTAACTAAAATTAATCTTAAAAAAAACACTACCGATAATCATAAGGAAAAGCATACATTTTCTCCATACTAGATAACTTGAGACTGCATTACATTTTTAATAGAAATTAAAAAGAGAAGAGTCATACATTGAGAAAATGAAGTATTTCTTTACTTACTCTCCCATTGCTTACAACAGCCATTTGTCCAGGAAGCAGTTTAAGAACCTCTCGACAGAACATCTGGTGGGTTTTAATTACATTCACTCCTAAAGTGTTGTATTTTTTCTCAAAAATATTGTCATCTAGTCCCTAAAGCAGAAGTAAAATTTAAGATAGACTGACACAACAAAAATGAAATACAATTGTAGGCAGCAGAGATTTTTTTCAAAACGTGTTTATCAAAATAAAATAATAGCGTCAAACTTCAACCCAACCATATGACCACTTGTATGGAGCCACAGTCATCCTTGTACCTAATCTGTAGTTTTCTCCCCTTGAATACTAATGCAAAAGGTGAGAAATACTGAGATAGACACTTGTTTTCTATGGCTCAGCACATTCTCACATAAGGAATTATACTATCTTATTCTAAGAAAGTCTACTGTTCTGTTAAAATACTTGCACTCCTCTCCACTCTTTAGGGGCAAAACATATTTAGTCACATTAAAAACTAGTAATTCTTAAAATGTTCACTCAAAAGACCTTGACTCAAGTGTGCATTTGGGTAAACAGCATGTGGTAATTCAAAGTTTAAATTCTGATTCTGCTGAGCTTACAAAATAGTATGTCCTACTTGACATAATTAATTTCGTGAGTAGAACTCTACTGAAATAAATTAATTAGAAATATACAGATTAAGCAGGGGGTTTTAGACCAAATAAAATTAAACTAGCTTGATAACATTAATTATAAAAATAACTAGACTAATTTATTTTTATATTCCCTAGAAATATAATTTTATTAAAAGTATGTAAACTCTAGAATATAAATATTTCCATGAATATTTGACATTTTTTAAAAACTATTTAGATCAGATTATTGTATGTCACTGAACTGTATTAAATATATTGATATCTATACGTAAAAAGAAGTCCATATTTTTCATTCCAAAGTTCCTGTTCGTTTGCTAAGGAAGATTTTATATTAAAATTTGTTTTGTCTTTCTTAAAATTAAAACTGCCATAACCTCCCATAGCAATATCTCCTCCAGTTACTGGCATACCTCCAAGAATCTTCTCTACTCCAATATATACTGAATTCCTAAATAAGAAAGTGACATAACTTCAATCCATCTTCATATCACTTTGCTACCCTTCCAAGCTCCATCAACAAGACATACATATCAACCCAAACCTTCACATCTCCAGCTGCCTAACCCTCCTAAATACTTTATAGGATAACACCTGCCAACTACATTTTTCTACTGCCAGCTCATAAAGTCTACCTTATGTTCTTAATTGGAAAAATGGATTATGAAGGTGAAAAATAACACTGCTCATTAATGAAATATCTCTGTACTGTCCCAAATAATTTTCTTATTGGTATTTAAAATACCAATCAACATCTCTTTGCCTGAAATTGTCCTATCGTTTCCAACTGTTACCCAGTAATTTAGATCAGCCATACAAATGAGTTCTCATTCTAAACTGATGACTATATTTCAAATCAACAGCATATTCACATATACTTATTTTCCCTGAGTTAGGTCTGTTTCCACAGAAACAAACAATTTAAAATGGTAGCTATAAACTAACTACCTGAAGCTCTTATTAATTTTAGTTGTTTCTCTTCATTAAGATTAGCACTGATAGTGGGGGAGTCCAGGAGAGACTCCTTTTATTTTAAAGAAACCTTACTGAGGGCTAAGGAACAAACCTTCCCGATGCACAGGAAGACTAGCAAGTATGGCAGAAGACCAGCTTGGCTTAGCAGGGAACTCTTTATGAACCTAAATCACAAAAAGGAAGCTTACTAGAAGTGGAAACTTGGACAAATGACTAGGGAAGAGTATAAGAGTATTGCTCAAGTATGCAGGGATGAAATCAGCAAGGCTACTGTAAAACTGGATTAGCAGCTAGTAAGGGACATGAAGAGTAACAAGAAGGGTTTCTACACATATGTCAGGAACAAGAGGAAGATCAGGAAAAGGGGGGGTCTCTAGTGAGTCCCTAGTGAATGGGGAGGCAACTTAGTGAGAGATGATGCAGAACAGGCTAAAGTACTCAATGCCTTTTTTACGTCACAGGCAAGGTCAGCTCCCAGACTACTGCACCTGGCAGCACAGTTTGGGGAGGAGCTGAGCAGCCAACTGTAGTGAAAGAGCAGGTTAGAGACTGTTTACGACAAGTAAATGGACATGTACAACAAGCTCCTGGGGGTGGACATGATGCACCTCAGAGTGTTGAGGTAGCTGGCCAATGTGACTGCAGAGCTGCTGCCTACTATCCTTGAAAACTCATGGTGATTGGGAGAGGGCCCACACAACTGGAAAAGACAAATATAGTGCCCATCTCTAAGAAAGGAAAAGAGTAGAATCTGAGGAGCTTCAGACTGGTCAGCCTCACTGCAGTCCCTAGGAAAATCATGAAGCTGGTCCTCAGGGTATTCATTTCTAAGCACTTGGAGGAGAAGAATGTAATTAGGAAGAATCAGCATGGATTCACCAAGGACAAGTCATGCCTGACCAACCTGATTGCCTTCTAGGACAAGACAGTGTCCTCTGTGGATGTCAGGAAAGCAGTGGATGTGAGATACCTTGACTTTAGCAAGGTTTTTGATACAGTTTTCCAAGACATTCTCATATGCAAACTAAAGAAGTATGGGTTGAATTAATGGACTGTAAAGTAGACAGAAAACTGGCTGGATCATTGGGTTCAAAGGGTAGTAAATCAATGCCTTGATGTCTAGTTGGCAGTCAGTATCAAGTGGAGTGTCCTAACAGTTGGTTCTGTTGAGTATCTTCATGAATGATCTGGAAGATGGGATGGAGTGGACCCTCAGCAGGTTTGCAAATGACACCAACCTCAGAGAGCAGTAGATACACTGTAGCGTGGGATTAGGATTCAGAGATACCTCGAAAAATTGGAGTATTGGACCAAAAGAAATCACTCAAGCTTCAGTCAGGACAGGTGCAAAGTCCTGCACTTAAGACAAAACAATCCCATGCACTGGTACAGGCAGGGGTCTGACTGGCTAAGCAGCAGCTTTGCAGAAAAGGACCTGGGAGATACAGTGGATAAGAAGCTGAATATGAACCAAAAGTATACCCATGTTGCAAAGAAGGCCAACAGCATCCTGGACTCCATTAATAGGACCGTTGCCAGCAGATCAAGGGAAGCAATTATTCCCCTCTATTTGGCACTGGTGAGGCCACACCTGGAGTTCTGTGTCCAGTTTTGGGCCCCCCATTACAGAAAGGATGTGGACAAATTGGAAAGAGTTCACTGGATGGCAAAAAACTGGTTATGGGGCTGAAGCAAATGACTTATGAGGAGAAGCTGAGGGAATTGGGTTTATTTAGTCTGAAGAACAGAAGACTGAGGGGGCATTTAATAACAGCCTTTAACTAACATAAGAGTATTTACAAAAGGGATGCTCAGTGGTGGCAGATGACAGAACAAAGAACAATGGTCTCAAGTTGCAGCCAGGGATGTTTAGGCTAGATATTAGGGAAAAAAATTCTCACAAAGAGGAAGATAAAGTACTGGAACAGGCTTCCCAGAAATGTTGTGGAATCTCCATCCTTTGAGGTTTTTAAGACCTGGGTAGAGAAAGACTTGGTTGGGATGATCTACGTGGGGATGGTCCACTTTGAGCAGGTGGTTGGACTAGATGACATCCTGAGGTCCGTTCCAACCCTAATTTTCTATGATTCTATTCAATACACTTAAAACATCACATTAAAAGCTGAAGCGTAGTCACTTTTAGACCAAGCTGCTAATTCTCACCAGTTGTTAGTTATAAATCCAGCAGTCAAAGTTCAAATTAAGAAATGGTTTTAAAAAATAATCAGCAGTAAGTGAAGCAATCTGTCTCTCAGTGAGTTAACACCTACAGTGGCAAGCAAATTGCTATTATTACAATTGTTGTTTAGAGCATGCAGAAACACAACTAATAAATATTCCTGTTCTAATAGCAGTTTTTTCAAAGTACTAAAAGCTAGTCCAGCAATTGTACATATAGCAATTATTTTATGGTTAAAATCACTTATTTTGACACTGGGTGAAAGTATATTTTTCTCAACAACCTCTCATTAAATAAATCATTTCTCAAAAGAAGAAAAACAAATAGCAAGTAGCTCATACAATCACCATCAAATGACTACTTATTTAATAAAATATTATTTACTCACCAGAACAAAGAATTCCTTAATTTTCGTTCCTCTAGCAAGGGCTTCTGTTGTCTCCTCCTTAACTAACTTGCTTAAAAAACTTCTTAAACTGCTGTTTTTCTGTGTCAGAAAAGCTGTCAAAATTCCCCTGGCAATAGCTGTGTTATCTTCAGTTATTTTTGACCCAGGGTTGTTCACAAGCCCAAGTCTTGTATGTCTGCTTGTTTTCTATAAAGAAAATATATGATTATTATTTTACAATTCCATCTATTTATGCCTTAAGTATACATATTTATCTTTTTGGACCTCTGTGCACTAAAGTATCTTTAGATTGTTATCTGTTGTGAAAAATATATTATTTAAATTAAATGCAGTCATGCATGTATATTTAAATTTAAAAGGTACAACAATCTGCTAACATACCAATGTTTACTCTATAACAAATATTTTAACTAAAACATTTTTTCTGGACTATGACTACACTATTGGATACTTTGATAACTCAATAATGAGTAAAAGACACGTGCCATACTTCACTCACATAACTGAAAACTGGCTTAAAAATCAATTTGAGCACAAAATAAACGTGAGAAATTCTATTTAATTATCCTATTATTGCTTAGCATCAGAAATATCTGAATTCTGAATACATTCTAAAGGAACTGATGATACACAAGAATATGAAGAAAAAAAGTGAAAACAATATTATTCTTTAGACTGGGACAAACAACTATAGGTTGATTTTCTTGTCTCTTAAAATCAAAGAAAACTACATGAAATTTGTTACCATAAAGGCTACAAAGCCAAGGGAGGAAATCAGTGATGTTCAGATTTATCTTGAAGATAAATGGTAGCCTTTGAGTGAGGCTTTGTTAAAAAGATTTTTTTATGCGATGATAAACTGAAAATGTGTTCCTTGCAAAGTTCACCCTGTGATTTCCAAAAGGAAGTGCCCACATTACCATATTCCCCAATACTGGATTGGAGAAAACTTTATCCAGTCCTTTCCTGATGTCCCCTTATGCCAGAAGCTGCGGGGAATAATATATAGGAGCTAAGCTACCTTTATAACCACTGAAGATGCCACTTAGTGCCACCTTAATAAAACAAAGGGACTGGAACAAGGCAGTGACTCTGTCCCAAATAATTGATAATCATACTCTGACATTTGGAAATACGTTCAGTCTTCATTCTGCAAAAGTGGGATATCACAGAATTAAAATTCCATCAGGCAGGAGATGCCAACCAATGAAAATTTTATTTGATTAGGTGATCCAGTACACTCTGATTAACATAGTCTAAATGAATTAACCGAGTTGGGCCCAACCTTCCAGCGCTGTGGGTCAGATTAGTGGCAGAGAGATGCTCCACAACCCACAAGGGGTCAGCACATGGGGTCAGTCCATTGGTGTCATCCAGCATGCCCAGATCTGGCCACACATCAGATTGACCCCATGCAACTACATCCAGCTACTCACTGGACTGACCCTGCACACCCAGATCTGGCTGTAGGCTGGATGAACCCTGTGCAGCTGGATGCAGCTGTGTGCTGTCGCAAAAGGACACATTATCCAGCCCATGGGGGTCCCTATGGATTCAGAAATATGGCAGCAGGGAAGTGGCAATTAACATTAAAAAGCCCTGCAGGCCAGATGACAGCTCTGCAGGCCAGATTTGACCTGCCAGGGGTTGGGGTCTTAAGCCATTATTGATGCATTAAGGCTGATCTCAACACAGGTCAAATCTTAGGCTTATGTAATATTTCATACCTTCTTCTTTTCAGGATAAATAAGCCACAGAAGGAAAAGGTCTACTAGGCCTATTCAAAAATCTAGCAGTCACCCAGGAATTGAGCATTTCTGCACAAGGACTTGAATATTACTGTGCATCTTCAGCATCAAGGAAATAAAGTTTTTAGAAGAGCTGTTAAGCATTCTTTGAAATACTAAGAGGAAAGAGACTTCTCTATACCAACTAGCTCCTGGACTTATGATACTTAGCTTCCTAAATATAGAAACAGGGACCAGTGGCAAGAAGATCTCCTGCTTCATCACTGATTAGTAAATCTAGAAAGTTCCCTTTTTTAGATGTTAGTCTGTAGTTACCTGGTTCTCAGATTAACCAGCTTGAACTAAAACTTCTGCCATACATAGTATTTTGTATGCAGTTGCTTTCTTTCTTGTTTTTAAAATAATATTTCATGTGCTTGAGTTTTGGGATATTAGCTATCTAGAACAAAATACCACACAATTTTCTGTTGCTCTTTCTTTTCACATCTTCTCATATTTCTGCTTCTGTAAATTTTCTAGTCCCAAGGAACTGACTGACATTTTTTAGGTTTCCATCACTCTCCCAGGTATATATAAATATATATGATATATTTTCTCAACTTCATCTGTCATTTACTTTCCTTCATTAGCCCTCTTGGGATTTATTTTGCTGTGATTGCAAATAAGGGTAACAGGGATAAATGTTGTTTTTTCTGTTGCAGTCCATAAACTAGCTAACAACACATTAGCTGATTGTCTTTGTTAGTATAAATGACATACAATTTTCTTTATTTCAGTCCCTCAATCCATCTGGCTAATTCTCTGGTTATCTTTTGGGCTAAGGATTGTAAAAATTACAAGCAGTAGCAGTGTTTCTAACTCTGAAATTATGTTACATTTTTTCCACTGACAATTATGTGAAGTGGGTTTCAAAGATAAACTGTCTAATTTTGTGTAAGTGAAATAATTTGTTCTCCTTTCTTAAATAATCTAAGAAGTTTTGAAGTACTGGAAGAACAGACCATTTCAGAAGCTTCAAAGGAAGATGGCTCCATTAATATTTTCTTCCATACTCTGTCAACCACATTTGGCTTTAATGTCATATGGCATTTACTTGTGATCTTTAAAATTCTGAAAAACTAAATATAAATGCAGAAAACTCTTGACATGCTCCTACTTTCATATCTGATTTAATGTACTCCACTGACTATATACTAGTGATTCTCAACCAGGGTCAATGAGATCCTTTGAAGGAGTTACACAATATTAGTAAAGGGGTTCAAACACCTATGTATGATTCACACAGTAAACAGATTTCACATAGGAATTCATTCTGATCTGTTGTGGTCTTTCTGAGTTCTTTGCAATAGAATAATTACTCTATTATATTTTCACAGTCAAAAATGAGCAACAGCTAAGAGCTGGCATTTTTTGAGGGGTGCCTTGAGTCTAAGGAAGTGGAGAACCATTGCTGTATATAATACCTGCATTAGCTATCAGAGTACACACTAGACTTTTTTCCAGTAGGAATTACTAGAAACTCACCAGGTGTTTCAAAGCATTTGAAAGCAGTCGTCTCCCAGCTGGCTTGTCAAAATCAGCAATAATCCAAATAGTAACTGCATATATTACATCTTCATCTGAAAAGGAGATGGCCAATAGCTACAACTTGCTAATCTTTCTATGTAGTTCATGATTAATGCAATTATGCAACTTATTAAATTAATGCAGTTATGATTTATGCAAATTCCATTTTGATTTTAAGATTGGGCTTTGCCTTCTCAGTACCTTTTACCTTCCATCTTTGACTAAGACTGCATATGTACACTCAAATCATCCAGAACAAGTCTCCCAGGCTTGTTTTCCTAAAAGAAAAACTTGCACAGAATGACCTATACAAAAGTTCAGAGACCCAAAGAGCCTGTAGTGGGACACTAGGAAGACAGGGGGCCCTAGAGCATGTTAGTATAGCCCAGGGTGCAGGGTGGGAGGTCTGGCAGGGTCAGTGAATAGGTACAGGGATCGGCAGGGGCAGGGAAGGTTGTGGGGGGGAGGGGCAGGGATCTGTGCCCGTCCCATGCACAGAGTCCTCAAGGCCTCCCCTCCCCATGCTGTGTTCCAGCCCAGCTCTTGCTGGGCATGGAGAATGCTTCCCAGAATCCAAATGCTGCAGGGACTCTCCCTGGAGAAACTGACTCTCTCTCCAAGCCCTAAAATTCCTAAGAGATGCTAACACAGATGAGAAATACAGGATAGTTAACTTAAGTGCTGTACCATTGATATGGAATTGCCTTAGACATGGGATATCAAATAGGGCTGTGCGAAGCTTCAGGTACTGATTCAATTCAGAGGAGATTTGGCCCAATTCAGTGGCCAAATCTCTGTTCAGAATCAAATCAGGAGACCCATTAACCTCTCCAAATGGAATCGGAAGCCTCCAGTATGATTCGGAGAGATTCGAAGATTCGGATATAGACACAGCTTTATATGTTTTTTCTACATACCTCAAAGTACCAGGCAGCTTGTGAATGCTGAGATGGTGGGGCAGATGGAGCGTCCCATGGGAATGTGTCTGCGGCCAAACTACTGATTCTCTGAATCAGAATTGAATCTCCAGATTTCGATTCGGCCGAATCGAATTGGGACAGTGATCCGAATCAGTGAATCAAATCACTGTTCCCTGAATCAGGCCAAATCTGAATCAAATACGGCCCATTTTGCACACCCCTAATATCAAACTGGCAGGCTGGATGAGTGGTGAGGGGCCAGTCTACAGGCTGGACTGGCCACACAGACTGGTCCCATGTGCTCGATTCAGCATGCATATCTGGTCCAGTGGGGGCATTGTGGGCAGCACATGCTGTAAACTAGGCCTGTGAGCCATCTGTAGTGCATGGGGCTGAGGCTGGGGCTCATGCATGCTTCATGTGGGCCAGTATGGATCACACTGCATGTGGCATGTGGGTCCAATCTGAGATCCATGGGCAGCACTGTGAACTGGATTACAGAGCTCTGTGGGCCAGACCTGACCTGTGGGCCATATGTTTGACACCCCTGCCCTAGACAAGAAGTTAGTTCCCATTTGAAAATAGTGTATGAAAATGCTCCTACATGTAACAAAAGTCTCCCTTATGTTAAAATATTTAAAATGTACTGACAAAAAGCTGCATAACCCTTTACTCAGGGATGAAGTGTGCAAGTGAGTGTTAATCCATAACATGTATCTTGAGAAAATGTCAAATGATTTTCTCTCTCCAAAAACATGTGATCTCCAAATGTGGAAACTAACATAGCTAGACAGGAAAGATGTTAAAAAGGATTATAATAAAGATATACAAAAAGAAGCGGATATAAAGTCAAAACTCTTCTGGATTATATGTATAAATTATAAATGACCACAATAAATTAATTATAAATACACTATTAAAAGTATAAGTGTGTTAATACAAAACTGAAACATTTTCAAGACCCACAGATACTGGGATGATGATAAAATTTAAATACATTATGCTGCAGCTAATATTTGGTTTAAAACTGAATTTTGTACCTTCTCTAAAATCTTTAAGGATAGCCAGCCCAGCTTTACAATTGAGGCTGTTTACAAAGTTGCAAAAGCAATCTAGCACTTCTGCATCGACCTGTGGAAAAACTGGAGTCACTAAAAACATGAATGATATGCAACCAGCTGCTTGCCTGAAAGCATAGGGAAATTTAGGGTTTTGAAAACAGGCATGAATGACGTGTAGTGCATCATCATCACATAACACAACACATATTTTTCTCCAATATAAAAATAAACTGGAAGCTTTGCAATGTGCTAGGAGCCTAAAGCTATATAATTCAGTTTAAGATCCAAGCAAAAACAAATATAACTGAGTTTGGAAGGGTCTAGCTGACAGCTCCAGAGTGGGGTAGGCACCTAGTGCCAGAGACGTACAGCTTTTACCTCCTAGCCTGGCTACAGACAGAACTGCTCCCTGACCCTCAACATGTGGGTCCCCCCACGTATTCTACCATGGCCACAGAGTACCCCCCAGTGCCCTTGCCACCTAAAATGCTCCCTGGCTCTACTCTATTCCCTGTTAGCCCACATATCCTCTGTGCTCAGCCCCATTCCATTGTGCCCTAAGCCCCCAAAGACCCCACCATTTCCTTCACACCCCACTGAGTCCTGCCCTGCCACCTCACTGCCCCCATGAACCCACTACACTCTGCACAGAACTCATCCCTATCATACTTCAGATCCTCTGATCCTTCACCATCCACCTTCACCATCCACCTTCACACCCCAATGAGCCCTCCCCTGCCCCTCTGAGTGCTCTAACCTCACTACAGTGCCTCACACTCTGAGTCCCCCCAATCTCTATTGCTCCCTAACCCTCCACCACCCTGCCTTAAGGCCCAAATCCCATCTGGCCCTCACCCTCCCACACCAATAAATGCCCCAGTCCCTCCTCAGCCCACACTGCTCTACCCCATAGGCTCCCCACCTGCCAAAAGGCCCTTAATCCTCATGGCCTCCTGAGAGCTCATTCCCTTCAGAATCCCTCCAGACAGTTCCCACCACCCCACAAAGGCCCTATTTGGGGCTATTACTGCCCCTTCTCCCTCCACTGCCCTGCCTCTCCACAGCATGTCCATAGTTGGCCTCCTTCCTTAACACACAAAAACAAACAGTTGGGGAGGACTCTCTTCAGCTACCTGTAGTGCCCCTACCCAGACAGACAACCCTTCTGGATCTACCCATGCCTAGCTTTATGCAACCCTTGTCCTACCGGTTCAACCACCCACCACTTCCATTGCCTGCTGAATAATCTAGGAAAAGGTTACTACAGTAGCTTGCTTTTTCACCTCACTTTTGCAACTCCCTCCTGCCTCTGATTGAAGGTCACTTGCCTTCAGTGTGCTACCACTCCCCTCCCTGTCTTTGATTTGTGTGGGTTTAATCCCTTAGGAACAAAACCACCCAATATAGGTTCCTAAGTAGCAGCACACCTTTACTGGACACACTGTAGATAATAGACAAATAAATGGTAGAGAAAAGAAGAACCTGATTAGTGGAAGATCAGTGTCATTAACGCCTATAGAGTAAAGAGATTATCAGGTGCCAATAAATAATAGTGAACCATGCAGTCAATTAATTCCCTCAGCTCCTTCTGAATGGAAATGCGGGTGCCTGTGCCAGGCAGTTGTTTTAAACTCTGAATGGAGCCAAAAATCCAAGGGGAGTGTAACTGCACACCATACTCCCTGAGCCACACCATCCAAGAGGAAGAGTGTATTTCTTAACTGGTAAAAAATGTTTGAATGTATTGGCATAACTGTAGGAGGATATCATTTATTCCCACTGCCTTACTACCAGTTAGCTTTGAAATGACCCCCAGGTTTAAATTTATTGTGGCTGAACTGGACAACCTGATTATTGAAGCTTAACATGTAAATAACAGAATTGTAGAATGAAGTAACAAAGAAACTTCTTACTTTAGGGGGCTGAATCAATCAGTTTTACTGTTCATGATGACTTATGACTGTATTATAAAATAATCTATTACTCCAGTTCATTGTTCTAACAATTTTGATTCTAAGTTTTAGCAACATCAGAGTTATTCAGGCAGACTCACAATCCCAAAAGCCTTTGGTTGTTGTAGTAAACCAAAAAAAAAAAAAAAGAATATCAGGGATCTCACACACTTATATTAGGTCAAACATACAGCCCCTGGGCTAAATACTGAACCAATTCCTCTGATCTGCAGGGCTCCCAGTTGCCCCAGGAATTTAGGGGTGGAGCAGGGCCTGCCACAGAATTCAGAGCAATGGAGACCTAATGGGAACAGCCTTTGGTAGCAAGGGGGCAAGGTTGTGTGAGCTGTGTCAACACAGTGCTGCTTGCTACACTGCCAATCACCCTGCTGCTGCTGGATCCAATCTGGCCCATGAAAGCCCCACAGGCTAGTTCTGACCTGTGGGATGGAGTGAGTTTGACAACTTGTTTTAGGCCAATCTTCTTATAAATATTCACTTTGACCAATGCTAACATTTCCTTTTTATCCCAAGTTTCCAGAAAAATACTAACTTGTACAAATATTTTTTCTTGCCATCACTGAAGGCAAACTGTTACATGGTTAAAAGACTGAACAAGAAAGATTACCCTTCCTTGTTAAATACTTCATGTTCTCAGAAATTACAGCACTCTTATCTTGCGAGTCCAAAAAGGAGAAAGTTGAAAAATCTTCTGTGTCAACAGGAACTGCAAAATTTAAAATACAATTTATTACAAATAAGAACTGAAAAAAACATGACAACAGCAAGCAAGTAAAATGCTTACCTGAAGTGGAAATGAAATTTATATATCTTCTTTCAGTACTAAAAATGGTGGGGTTTATACGGGAAATTACATTATGTTGTTCCATGAGGAAATCCACTGTGTCCATTTGATCATTTAACAAACCCTGTAGCAAAGTAAAAAAAAAAAAAATCAATTCTCTATAATCCCCATTTATTAAAAAATTTAAGATAAACATAGCCTAAGTAGTTAAATTTGTGTGTTTCAATTTAATTTTTAAAAATGTATATATTAAGTTTAGGAATGGTCAAACTGAAAGAAATATATAAATACTATATGACAGGGATTTTAATATATCAGGTCCAAATTTTCTTACATGTGTACTTTTTGCCTGAAAATATTCCAAAGATTAGCATCTGCTTGGTCAAACTTTAATGTCTGCATAACCAAAGTATACTAAGTTTCAAATACATAATTGCAAATTAAGGCAAGGATGTTATTTCAACTTTCATAACATTAATTTCAAGCCACAATATTATAAAAAATACAGAGTGTAAGAATGACTAAAACAACCTACTGCCAAGTATTTCACCTTACACTTTTTTAGAAATGCTAAGCGTACCATGAAAACTGCCCTCTGGAAGAACCCAGTGGCATCGATGATCTTCTGGAGAATAATTGTCTCTAACTCCGCAGCATCCATCTCTTCACTGTTAAAGGGCACACCATTAAACAGAGCCTGAGGCAATGGACCCAGGCCAGTCTTCTTATAAAAGGTTGCTCCTGCCTATTCATATCAGGAATATCATGGAGTTAAACAGAATGTGGCTGACCGTAGTAAGAAATACAACTAGTTTCAAGAGAGAAAAAACGCTAATGTCTAAGTACTGTATGCTCTAGTCCATTTTTGTGAGTAGTAGTGAGCAAACTGAAATTGCAATTCCATTAGAATACCTCAGAAAGTATCTTGGAAAACAAAACAATTAAACAGTATGTGAAGCATACTTTATCAAAAAGAACAAAAACTTCTGTAAATCCATATAAAGATTATTTTTAGATCTTTGATTGTATACCATGTTATAGCATTCTTGCTAAAAGCTATTATTTACCTTGCATTATTTGAAGAATATTAAGCACATAACGAATAAGCAAAGAATGCATATTTTACAGATTAAATATGGTTGAAAATACATGGACGAAAATAATGCTCCTATGGATTTCTGAAGAAAAATATCTACATCATTATAGCAGAAGAAAATAGCCCTTCCCATTACTTTTGTTAAAATTCAGTATTCTTTTTTTTCCTTTCCTTTAATTGTCCCAATCACAAACAGGAACCTCTGCTGTGCCTACTGTCAGGTTGGCCTCTCAGAATTATCTGTCATGAGATATATATTTCATCTCATTACAAGAGGGTTTAAAAAATTCCTTGATAATCTTCCTAGTGTGTCTACATTCCACTCAGACACAAGATAATATCTGTATGTTTCTGCCTTCTCTACTTTCTGACATGATGAATTGCAATTCTAGATCAGAATGTCTGTATCCACCAGTTATGTTTTTATTCAAGGAAATATGATTTACTTAGAAGACAGGATTTCTTCCTTATTGAGAGTGTTTGTGTAAACTAGTATCTAATACAAGTGATGCTTACCAAATGAACTTGTCAATGGATATCTACCATAGTCATAGCTGTACACTTACTACTAGTCAATACTAATGAGGGCAATGATCAAAAAAGACAATTCCAATATTGCAACATCTGAAAAATCCAACTCAGCAAATATTGCACTCAACTGATTTAACTTTTAGAAACCTTTCTCATCTTACCTGAAAAACAAAACTATAGGTCTTACCACTCTGCAAACATACCTTCCTTTCCTCATCATATTCAGAATGAATACCCAGTATACTTGGAACATTGGCACGAGGAAATTCATTTCTAAGAACATTTTTCACATGATTCACAGTGAGAAAATCTTCCTCTTTCACTTCATGAAACATCTACAAAAATTTTAAAACAGGTACAAAACAAAGCTATTTTAGCTACACAAAAAATGCTGTCTTAATTATTTGTTATTATGCATGCTGCTTGCAAACAGATCATACATAGGATTTCCCATCAGAACACTTGTCTAAGTAATGTTCTGTCCTGTTTGGTCAGGGATCACTGTCTGATATTGCAGATGAAATGCATTAAGTACAGACGTTCAAAAATTTGAGGTGGAATTGATCAAAATTACGCAGGTTTCTGTAAGCAGTGCAGGCAAGTTAGATCGGGAGTGAACAGAACACTTTTACCCTTTGGTGAGAAGGGCATGCAGGCTCCCTGCACTGGCCGAGGCCAGCACATTGAGGGTGCTTCTACATGCCTTCCAGCGGGCTCTCCGGGCTGCTGGAGACTGCTGAGCACAGCTGAGCAGGTGGGACATCCCTGATTGGCTGCCAGGCATGGGCAAGCATTTCCCTCGGCACCTGTCAATATCAGCCACAGGTATCTGTCAGCTGCAGGCAGGCAGCTGAAGCAACCATGCTCACTTTATCCCCTACAGCCCGATTGTGCTCCCTGGGGCCGAGGCATGGGAGTCCCTGGGTGGGCTCCTGCACACCACCCAGGGATCCCCATTCCTCTGCGAACAGGGACAGCCTCAGGGAGCATAAGTAGGCTGCAGGGAGTGGCTGAGCACGCCTCCCCTTGCTGCTGCATCATCACCTGCCACTGTGCTGACTCAGCTCTGAGAGCTTGGGGGCGGAGGCTGGGTCAGCTGGGAGTCTCACCAGAGCAGCAGAACGCAGGGGGAGTGCTAATGCGCCTCTCTTCCCTGCTGCTGAATTCAATGTGAGGAAGGGGAAAAGATGAATCACTCCAGCACTCACACACTAGGCTCCAGAGCTGCATGAAAGCAAAAGTTCTAGCCAGACCCTGCACCAACCAATTGGAGAGCTCACAATTTACAGCACATGCAGAGCTCTGACAGAAGCTCTGCTGGGATGCCAATGAGTTCAGAAAGCTTGCTGTGCATGTGGTGCAGAGCCAAAAGGTGGAGTATGACCATGTACTTTCCTGGATCCATCCCTGCCTGTGGCCATAACTTTTTCAGGCTTATGAAGATGCAAAAATATATGTCTTATTTATATTTAGTGTCCTCTTCATAATATGGAATAAAGTACACTGAAAAATACATCAGTTTTTACTATTATCTTCATAAATTCTGAAGATTTTGCGATCATGCCATGGATAACAAAACTTCCTAATAATCAGGGATCCTAGTTTTCTCTAACTAAAAATAGTCCCCAATTTGTAGATTTAATGAAGTAACCCAAAATCCACATTTTCCCATGTTCAAAATGAAACACAACTAATACACACACACACACACACACACACACACACACACAGAGTGGTGTTTCATTCTGATCATGGAAAAATGTGAATTTTGGGTTACTTTTTTCATCTGAAAAGTGGGGATTTTTTTAAATCAGAGAAAACAAGGATCCCTGCTAATAACTAACACTGTATACCCCCTACAATCCTTAAGCTCTCTGGACTTCTATTTTTGTCCTAAAGCAGTCTTATGGTTTCTCCTTTCTGTCCTTTTCTCTCCCTCAGGTATTATATTACCTTAAGTTTCTAGGCACTAAAATGAAATAGTGCAAGTGAAAGTAAGAGAAAACATATAATATTAAACATTGTTACAGAATGATTTTATCTGTTTGCACCCTGTTCTTTGGATCTATTTTAAAATTACTTATTTTACAGAATCAGAGATCTTTCACTTCAGTTTATCCATTTCCCCTTTCTAGTCTCTACAGCTCCCTACTGAAGTTAACTTCTTTAACATAAGAAATTTAACTTATTCCCTAACATGTAAGCCTGAAAGACTTCCAAAGTCCTTCAGAACCATGAATAGGGTGAAGCAGACTAGACAAAAATGCAGGTAATGAAACTGTCTTAGCTAGTCTCTCCTATTCTCTACTGCACTGGATGGTTGCAGAAATTGTTCAAAGCAGAAAGAAATACACCATTTCGGATATTGTTATTCCAATTTGTACAGAAACAAAGACAAAAAGCAGGCAAAAAAGGCCATACAGAAAAATCCAGAATGGATTCCACATGAAAATATTAATATCTAAAGAATAAGATTCTTTTACCTTCTTGAACAAAACTCATAGATAGTTAATACAACTCCAATGCGTTTGTGTGGGGAGCAGGAAAATAGTTCAGTAAATCATTCATTATATGCAAGTTTTAAACAATCTTGTTTTAAGTGTAAGAAGCTGTATTATACAATCCCAAAATGGAGAAATCCTAAATGTATGGGAAATCAAGAAGTCGAAAAAGTATTATATATTATTTTTATCTGTTTAAGGTACTAACATTGATTATGGAGATAAAAGCTTGAGAGGTGTCAGTTTCTTCTGCAATGTAGTTAAAAGCTCTCCAAAGAGCTACTCCAGCATCTTCATTCCCATCAATTTCTTCAGTAGTATTTAAAATGAAAACAACTCCGACTCTATGAAAAAAAAAATCTGTAAATATCTTCATCAGACTTTGTAAACCTTAGGGCAATTATAATAAAAATATTACAAATTTCACAAAATCATTCATGTACTATGGTAATTTTCTAATAGCATACTAAAAATTAATAACTTCAATTCTCAAAATTAAGAGGTAGCTGAAAAGTGCACTGATGTGTGTACTGTTTTTACTCCAATATTTTAAACAGAGTGGACTGATAGGACATGCTTTGCTGTACCAAATTATTACTATGTGTTTTATGTTTTCCTCTCCATATGATTTATGCATGAGATTTATGTACCACTAGCAAGGTATAAAAGATCACTACATAGATTAATTACAGCCATAGTTCAAATGGACACAAAACATATAATAGGGGGTAGACTATAGTAGGCTTTAAATTTACAGGCTTTAAGACTACAGTAGGCTCTTAAGATTCTATGAACTAAAAGAAGAGCTTCCTTAAAACTTAATTTGAAATCTAGGTGAAAAGTCCTTTTCCCTAATAGGCTGGCTGGTCTGATAACTATGTAAGCTCTCCCATTTCTTCCTAGTTGCTTCTGTTGTGTCTTTAAATGAGTCACCATCACCAACCAGAGGCTCAAAACTGCAGCACCAGAGCAGTCAGTTTCCTTGTCAGCTGCCTTTCCATTCCCAATTTGAGGCACACTTTCCCTATCATACTATGGGCATTTTTTCATGTGTTCTGGGGTGGTGGGGGGAGGGGGCAGCACTTTAATTAGAATGGCTCTGGGAGCCATTCTAATTAAAGCACTGCTGTGTGTATCAGCTTCCCCACACTTAAAAATGGCAGCAGGGGTGCTTGAACTAAAGCTTGTTTGATGAACTTTAGTTCAAGAGCCCCCTCTGCCATTTTTAAGTGCAGGGATGCTTATACACAAGACGCAGGAGGTTGCTGGAGTGCGGTAATCGCCATGCTCCAGTAGGCTCCATTAATCAAGTGTGCTCCAACACACTGGAATTCCAGTGCTTTGGAGCAGCCTCTGTGATTGTGTATAGAAGTACTATGTGTTCACGTGCCAACTCTACCAGATTTAAAAAAACCCAACACCTTATATAGTGAAAGCCAAGTATTCTGTAATTTTATTAAAGGTTCATGGAGTGTTTCAATCAAGTAAGAAAACAAATCAGTTCTTTAACACTGTAAAGGAGACCAAGTCTTATTACTGAGAGTAGAGCTAAGCAAATAGGCTAGGGACAGACATTATACATAAACTGGTTTAAGTGATCAGAAATTGGTTTAAACCTGTAACAGAACAGACATTCAGTGTACATGAACCAGTTTGAAAATAGCTGAAACCAGTTTGAGATTAACCTGGTTGAATGTAGCATCAGACTTAACTGATCAACTCAAACCGGTTTATGCAATGTCTGTCCCAGACTCCTTGCTGGTTTAAGTTAAATCAGAGATCCCCAGCATCCCGGCATGTTATCTGGGCTGGGCTCTGTTCCAGAGAGCTGGGCTGGCCCCTCCCCTCTGCTCTAGCCTGAGTAGGGGTGGGGCGTGGCCAAACTGCATAGCCCCTGGGGCAAATTCCTCCCTCTGTCCCCTCTCCCCCTCACTGGCAAACCCTCACTGGGGTTTGCCAGCCCCAGCCAGAGCTCCACAGCTTTCCTGCAGCCAGGCAGAGACTGAGTTAATTCCTCCCTCTGTCCAGCTTGCCTGTAGCCAGGCAGGGGATTAATTCCACAGCGGTCCCGGAGCGGGAGAGGGAGGCACGCTAGTCCCCTGTGTGCTGATCCAAGACCTACACCTGTGAGCCCAGAGCTAAGACCTGCAGGATCAGACTGAGAGGTGGGAAGTGTTGGCAAATACCTGACAATCACCACAAATATGTGCTGGAGATGGAGTTAAGGGAAGTTGCAAACAGCTTCTGGCTGTAAGTTTCAGACCAAAGAATGCAGAAAGCTAAATTTACATTATAAAGCAGAACCTGTAAAACCTTTCTGAATGCCTGGCTGTAAGGAGACACTCTGCCCTCAGGATTAGTAAAACTTATGCAAGGCTTTCTCTTCTTTCTCTCGTTTTAGTTGTTAAAATTCACAAAAATTAAAAAATACCCTGAAAGCCATTTTTACAATTTTT